GTACCTATTGTGGCAAATAGAACTCTGTAGAGGCAACCATCTTGACAGGAAGAGATGCCAGGTACCACAGGGAACAATCACCAAGCCATCTTACTCGAAAGCAGACACCTTGACTCCTTCTTCATCTTCTTTCTTCAGACGATTATCGTGACACCAGCCGGACGATCGTTACACCACTACACCTTTTCTGGAGACCACAATCTTGACGCCCACCGGATCGGCGTGTGAACTGGCTTCTTACAAGAAACAGCACATAACAGGTTACGGTGTCAGATACCATGTTAATTCTGTTCAATCGCCTTCACATGAGATTGAACTGGTATCTTGTGATCTGACCTGTGGAGCACTAACCACTATGCTATAGACCCACAGGTCATATTTTTTAGAAGTTTGAATTAAAAACAAAGATTCTCAAAAAAATATAATCTATAGAATTTAACATAAGATATAAATAATATCTATACTTAAAAACAAAAAAGTAATTGATAAACAAGTCTTTTATATATTTAACAAAGTTCTTATTTCTAGAATTAAATATAAAACTTAAAACTATTATATTTCATAAAAAAGATAAGAAATTTATAAAACAATATAAAAGAATTTTCAAATATAAAACAGAAATCTGTAATACTATTTTCAAAAATGCTATTTATAACAAAGATATTTTAACTTGAAAAAAATTTGAAATATTCAAACAGAATTTCAAATTACATAACTTATCTATAGACTTAATAACAAAGAAATAGTTAACAAATTTACTATAATTAGACTTAAACAAGTATAACTTAAAAACTGAGAGCCTGCCAATATTTTTTCTAAAGACATTTCAAACTTTATTAATTATAAAAACAACTTTTTAGTTATATTTTTAAAGTTAACTAACAAAATAGAAATTAGGTTTCAAAATAAATTACTAGAAGTCAACTTTAAATAATCTAGAGGCTTCTTTATTATTAAAAATAAACTAAACAATGATCTCTTATATAAAAAGTCCATTTAGTTAATTAGTAAAAACAACTAATGTATATAGATTAGCTAATAGATACAGAGCTTAAAATCTTACTGGATTAAAATTTTATTAAGTCAATATTTTCAAAATTAAACAGAGGATATATTCTATAATAGTATAATATACTTTGAAAAAAAGTTATAATTAATAAAAAATAAAAGTTTAATAATAATTAAATAACTTTATCATGGAAAGAAAATAACTCAAACTGATTTAACAAAGTCTCATTTAATAAAATAATTAAGGAATAATATGTTTTTAAAGATAATTAAAACAAAATGTAATAAGAAAAAATATAAGCAAAGAACAATTTAACAAATAAATTAATTATATTCTTTCATTAAAATTGTATAATATCTGAATTAAAACAAACTCTTCTTAAAATTTGTTATGAATCTACTTGCAATTTAAATACCATTCTATTTAAAACAATATTAAATAATTTATATATAGCTCAAGTTTCAAAAAAAAATATTATAAATTGCAACTTCTTAAACAATATATATAGCAACAATAGAATTTCAAAAATTTTAATTTACTATAACTCCTATATACTTGAAAAATAAGTATTAAAAACAATTATTAATTGTACAAAACAAAAAAGACAATAAAAAATTCAAATAATTGATTGGAATTCAGAATTAATTAAATAAATAGTTATATCAGAAGACTATAAAATAGATTTTATAGAAACTTTACTCAATAATAAGCTTTTAACTACTTCAATTTACAATTAAATAGTCTATTCATATAAATTTTTCATAGATAGTTTGTTTTTTGAATAAAAAAACAAAAAGAAAAGAAATTAAAATAAGTACTGCCTAAATTCAAATCCAAGTATTAACTCTTTTCAACAACTTTAATAAAGAGTTCAATATTAATTATTATTAAGTAAAGTAAAAGCCACAGCAATTTTAATGACAATACTTATAGTTCCAAGTAATTAATACTTCTAATAATACTATTTCAATATTATTTTAATACCAGTTCAATATTTAATTTTATTATAAATCAGTATTCTTTTGATATTATTTTAATATTATTTTAATACTTTTTAAAATCCTATAAGAGATAAAAAAATAATTATTTATATAGATAGTCAAAACTGCTTTGATATTTTTAATCTAGTATCCAAAATTAATTTCAAATTGATTTATAAAAAATGGCTTAAAATTAATAACTGATTTATTTGAAATAATATTTTTGAAATTTAAAACAAGAAAAACATTAGATTTAATTTTAAAAAAGTTAAAAAATACTTTGGCAATATATTTAATAAACATATAAATTAATTTATCAAACAAGTTACCTAATTGTTAATAATTACATGAACTTTTTTTTTTTTTTTTATTGGCTAAAGTGAGACTTTTCTCTAGTTTTATTAATATAGTGAGTTTTTATATATATCATATATAAAAGGTTAACTATACTTAATTTTATATTAACTAGAGTCTACCCACAGGTATTAACCATCTGGGTTAAGTCTGCCATCATTATTATTTCTCTCAATTCTTCATTCTTTTTTTTTTTTTTGGCTTTTTTAGTCTTGTATTAAAAAAAGGAACAATTAGCTACCTTAAACCAAGTATTCGAAAGTATTAAATTTGTTTCCTCTCTAAGTATTTTATCAATTTTTCCTGTCCAAGGTTTGCTTTTAGTTTTGTATTCTCATATGGTTAAATTATAAAGACCATCTTCAGATGAATAATTGTTAATTTCTATTGGTGCTCTCCCATAAAGAAGAATTTGGTAGTTTCCTGATTTGTCTTCTGCAGATTTAATCAGGTTTTTAAACTGTTGTTTATTGAGATCATCCCTTTTCACATGAAACACATGATTGAATTCCTTGTTATTATTGTTATTATTATTATCCCTTTCCATATATGACACGTGTTTGAGCCCCTTGTTGCTATTGTTGTTATTATTGCTACTGGCAATAATTACAATCCTTTCGCCACTAGTAATAACTTCTTGTATTGATTTTTTCAAAGTTTTAATCCTATCCACCTCCATACTTTTTGTTTTATAAACAGTATTATAATGCATTGTTCTTGTAAAAGGACTAGTAAAGTTTTCTTTATATTCTATATACTGACATGTCTTGGCGAATATGGATTATTTAGATAAAGGTTGTTTATCTATTTCTATTTCCAGTTTCTTTCCTTCCTGAGACTTCCTCTTTCTAGGTCATCTTTTTCTTTTTTTTTTTGAAAAGCCTGGGTTTAATTGGGAGGTAAAAACTTGTTATTTAGAGATACTAAAACCGACTGAAGAAGTCCTTTCTATCCGTTTGGAGAAGAGTTCTTTTACTTGGTTCAACTGTTCAGTTGGTTTAGAGTATTTGAATTTGACACTGTAGGGAAGACTTATTTCCATAGTAATATTTATTATGTTTAAGTCTTTGGAAATAAAAACTTCACTTCTCGTTGTTTTTGAAAAAACTTCCTTTTAAGGAAATTTTTCAACAAAAATGTGGTCAACAGGAAAGAGTGTATTACATAAACTTTAATAAGCAGTTAATATACTGTATATAAATAATATATAGTTTTATTAAAGAAATCAATAAAATAGTTAACTTGAAAATATGAATTAAGACAAAAAAAATATAACACCTACTTAATTATCAATTGATTAACAAGAAAAGTTTATCTGAAAACAATTTAAGAGCAATTTTAAGTTAAACAGACTAATTATATCCTTTAAAAATATAAAAAAAAAAGCTTTTGGATTAAACTAATGCATAACAAGATATTAATACTAAATAGATTTAAAGTAAAAAGTTTTATTTAATAAAATATATAATAATTATAGAGTCTGCAATACAAAGCTTGAAATTAAAAACTATTTTTATATATATTTAATAATAAAGAAATTTATTAATAAAACTTAATCTATAGCTATGAAAAAGTTAAAAAGGATTTCAAAAAACTTATTAAAAACTTGATAAATATATCATATATTGTCAATATAAAACTATTCATATTTTACTTAATCCAAAAAATTTTTAAAAAAAAAAAATAAAAGATTGAATTTTATAATTGAATTAATATTAATAATTTTAACTATAGAAGTTTTAAACCTGATAAATATAAAACAGATTATTTAATTCAAAATATGATAGCTATTCTATAAAGCTACTTTAAATTTTTTAAAAGAACTTTAGAAAGTTAATATAAAAACATAAATATAATATTATAATAAAAATTAATTTAAATTTGAATTTAAATTTAAAAATAAAAAGATTTTAAAAAGATCTAAATATAGAAAATCTTAACAATGTACGTCAATATTATTAATAAAATATAAGTTAAACTTTAAACTGAAAAATCTTATATAAGAATCTTTAAAAAAATCAAGTACTATATTTTTAAAAATTAGTTTTTAAGTAATTAAAATAAGAATATATATATATATAATATCCAACCTAAAAGCATATATTAATAGAGTAAACAAAGTTAAAAAACTAATATGTAAATTTATAGAATATGATAAAAAATAATTAGTATTAAATTAAAACTTAATTTGAATTTATAATATATAATCTATAAAAATAATTTGTTATAATTTTATTATATAAAATGAATCTTAATTAATTAATAGATGAGTAATATATTATTTTTATAAATTATATTTAAAAAATTAATGTTATAAATAGATAAGCTGATTTGAAAAGATTTATATATACAATTCTAATTGTAATGATTTATTATAATTTAATAAATAAATGATTTTAGCCTAATTGAAGATTTTTAAAAAAAAATAGTTTTGATATTAAAAATTTAAAAATCATATACAAATTTATTAAATTTATTAACAAATGTATTACATCTAGTAAATTGGTTAGTTATAGTATAATATTGTTTTTTTAGTATTTTTAATTATAAAAGATTAATAAACAATTTTAAATTGCAGCCTTACTGATTGATTACGATCACATGATTGAAGTGATAAAAAATGTGCATGATGCATCTACTGTATAAATGAATTGGAAATGTTCTCGCGACAGGCAATACCTAGATCTCGTTATCTTATTCGGCAATTTACATTCAAGTCGTCTTCACAAAAACCCTTCAATAGGTTCCAAACGGCAAAATCGCTATCTCCCAAGCGTCCTCGCGGCATTTATCACGAGGTAATGTCTCTCAATATGGACAGCTGCATTGTATAGCTCAATTAATTTTGTTGTCTCGAAAAATAGGCTCAAGTTTCAAATGCTGTCTCAGCAAGAATATTATATATGCTCGGGGTCGTTGTAACAGGAATAACTTATTGGCATGTAAATAATAAAAACATCGCGTTTGCGGACTCTACGGTTCGT